GGGCAGGCATGTTGAGCTGGAAGTCTAGATAACACTGCATGGAGACAGACAGAAAGGAGCGGCTCCCCATGGTGTCAAGAGCATCTTTTATAATGTGATATATGCCAAACTTCGCAATATGTATCACTGTTGTGGTAATGGGACAATTACAATTCTCTCGCTCTCCATAACAGGTCTCATTAAACCTAAGCAAACATTTGGTACTTAGGGGCTCTGCATTACAAATCTAATTAAGACTCCATAAAATAAAATAATTCAAGTTTGCAGTCAGCCGTCCCATTATCTCGCACATATATGATTGCTGCGTTATTAAACAACAACAAAGACAGACAAGCTCCAAACGGATCCGTCCATTTGTTTAGGAGTTGGCAAAACAATGCAAGACTCAATCACTCCCAACAAAGGCTCACGTCCTCACGAGACTGACAGCTGTGCTTTGCATGCACTGGGCCAACCGCTTCCACACGCACCAGCGAGGAGCCTCAGAAGCAGACAGCAGATAAGTCTCTGCTGGGACCGGCCCCTCACTCTCTGCTCTGGCTTCTGGAGACCAGAGAGAGTGTCGTGAAGGGAGGCTTTGGGGTAGGATCACTCTAGGACTTGAGAACTCCACAGGTAGCTGAACCCCTTCACATAGAAGAAGTCAACTTGAGATGAAAACCTGAGGAATGAGAAGGGAGTGACTACCCAATTTATCTCAGTCCAAAAGCTGAGTTTAGCAGAAGGAACACATCAAGGCTGGCCCCTTTGGAAAAGGGAGGCTTCATTTCTCTCATAGATCAGGCACAATGGCTCACTAGCTATATCTTGCCACTTCAGCACCAGGCACCTGCTGGGAATTAGATGACACTCACTACGTTCATAAAAGAAAGTATTTGAAACCTGAAGTCAGCTCTAAGTTGGATCAGATTGGCCCCTAGTTCCCTCCAAAATTTAGGCAGAGATTATCTTCTCATCATCTCTTGATCACAGCGCTGCCGAGCTGTGTCTTTCTTCCTGTGCCTGAGCCCACACCACCACACTCCTTTCATGCACCTGCTCGTTCTCGATTCAAGCGAGTAGCCCTCTCCTTGGTGAGTCCTATTGACAAGGCTTGCTGCCTAAGTGTGGGGTTGTTTGGTAGTCCTCTTCAGGGAGGAAAGGATGGATTTTTTCTAACTTAAACAGGTAAGACCAGAAACGTCCGTTCCTCTTCTTTGTGTCATAGCTACAGTGCCGCCGTCCCTCAGTCTTCACAAACACTGCTTCCTCCAGCCCCAGCGGTGGGCTGACCTCACAGTGGCTCTTCCCAATGAGATCTTGGGACATAAGAACCAGAGCTGAGGCAAACTCCAGACAGGCCCCTGCCCTGCGGTGTAGGCCCATGGAGGTTTACGTTCAGTGCTCACATTCATGTGTAAGTCAGATCCAGGCCCAGCAAGATAACCCCAGAGGGTTCCTGGCATAGCTGAGCACTGGGGCTCGTTATGAAGCTGGTCTCTGCACCGACTTGCTGACTCTGAAAACCTGAAGACAGGCTACTATCTAGGAGTCACAACTCCAGCCTTTCAACACATTTCAAAATATATAAACCAATCAGAGTACCGACACTTTAAATAGCAAGAGTGAGCATCAGTGTCCTGATTCCTCCTAAAAGACCCTCCCAAGTCTGGTGGAAACTGGGCACATTCCAAGTCGAAGGTAATTGTGGAGATGCGTAATGGACCAAGTTAACAACTATCCTTCACATAGCTTCTTCCAGTACTGTGACCTATGTAAGTAAGAAACACTGAAAACCTGTTTAGCAGTTTACAGAATTCCTAAGGGAAACTAGGAATGGGTGAAGGTCTAAACGCCCCAAGTAGGGACCATAAAGATGAGGACAGCTTGTGGAGACACCCACTTCACAGCACCCTGGGAGCATCCCTACTATGGGTACCTGGACACAGGACCTCAGCCCTGGAAGAAACTGGAGGCTCCATCCAGGGTTGCCTGGCAGAATATCTCCACATATATGACTTACACAGTTCCACTCCAGATCTTCCAAGAATCAGTCTGGAGGGAGTCAGGTCATACTGCAAGGTCATCTGGGAGGTGTGGTCTTAGGATATGCGGGTGGGTTAGTTTATTAAAGCCACCCAGAAGGGACTAGAAGGTGACGAGTGTGTCTGTGACACTCTCCCAGTTTGTGCATGATGAGGGGAAAGGGGAGATCAGGCTGCAGACCAGGATGGACTGTCCGCTGCGGTCAGGTGGACTTCTCATCACCATGACAAATAGATGAAGGGAAGGGAGAAGAGAGGGAGGGGAGGGGGGAGAGAAGGGGGAGGGGAAAAGGGACAAAAGGGGGGAGGAGGGAAAGAAAGAGAAGGAGAGGATGAGGTAGGTAACAGCTTATTTTGTTCATCGCCTCCGAGGCTGTGGTCCACCATGGCGAGGAGGGTGTGTGACGGAGCAGAGTAGTTCACACCACAGCAGCCAGGGAGGAGAGGGGGGTAGAGAGGGAGGGAGAGAGAAAGAGGGAGAGAGAGAGGGAGAGAAGGAGAAGAAGAGAGAGCTGTGTTTCTGGCTTCTCTCATTATTCCATTTCTTCCCCTTATTCCATCCAGGTCCCCGCCTATGGGGTGGTGCTGCCCACATCCAGGGAAAGCTTTCCACTTCGTGAATCTCCTCTGAAAACATTTCAGACACACCCAGAGGTGCCCTCTGCTAATCTCCTAGACACCGCTCCGTCCAACCACCTTGACACCCCAAATCAACCATCAGACACAGCCTGTCACTCTAAATAAGCCACGCAAGGGAAACCGCCTTTTTCACATTTTTAAGTAAAATGTATGTTATGTATATTTTTAAAATATCATGTCTACTCAATATAACTGTCAGAACTCTAATTTGACTATGAATAACTTTCCCTCAGCAAGGTTTTAAGTGCCAGCCTTGCTTGGTGCCAGCTTCCTAGACACACGGAGCCTCTTGGGATGACAGAGCTCAGCTGGTTCTCGCTGATCAGGCTCTGCTTGGATTCACAAGAACATACTATCTCCTTTGGCCTCTCTGGATACCTCCTTTCTGCGTGGCCGGAGGCAAGCCCTTCTCTTGCCTCCTTTGTTTGATGGTGGCAGCATGTGACATGACGTCACTCTCTCAGCTGTCTTAAATTAATCCCCCCTCTGCCGCACCAAAGGAAAAGACGAAGCGTGACTCAATGAGAAGGAACTCTGTGTGAAGCTCGATTTTTTAAAAACACGGTTCTGTTATTTTTGAAATGTGTTAAAACGCTCATGAGAGAGAAAGGGCAAAGCCCTTTTCAGAAGCCAAGCTTCAGAGAACAGCAAGAGGAACGGTGGAGTATGCTGGTAAGGATGAGTGTGGCCCATGAAGAGCAGAGGGGAAGGCCACTGTCAACGGAGCAGAACGTGGTCACCCATGGAACGCCTCTGCTGGGGTTGGAGGAAACTTCGTAGACAGGGGAAGAGAAGCACAGGAGTAGTTTTTTCCTATATCCCTGTTCTGACCCAAGAACAGAAATAGCTTGCTGCGAAGAAGTGCTCTGGGAAGAAGAATGTGAACCTCTGAGCCGCAGTGAACGCCTGTTGTGCCAACTTTCAGGGACTATGGCACCAGGCTGCTGTCGCCTGGCAGCGTGCATGCTCTTCAGGGTTTCTGATGTTCTCAGATGAGATCGTGGGCACTGAAACCATCTTTTCTTACAACCAGGGAGGTGAATTTAGGAACCAAATCAAGGAATATGTCAATTATTTTTAAATCCACTTTCTGAGGGAATTTTATGAGTTTTTACACTTGAGAATGTGTAACTTCAACATAACTCTGTGACTAGAAAAATGTGACGCCCTTTTGGAGGCTGCCTCAGTAGGTAAACAACAACAACAACAACAACAACAACAGCAACAATCTAGTCACAAAGTTTGACAACCTGAATTCAATCCCTGGAGTCCACATGGCAGAAAGAGAGAACAAACTCTCAAATTTTGTCCTCTGACCTCCACACATGCACATGGTAAACACGAACACAAAATAAATAAATAAACAAACAAACAAATAAATAAATAAATAGTGAAGGAAAGAAGCTTCCAAAAAGGAAAGAAAGAAAATGGAGCTGTGCTGTGGAACGTTCTGATTGCTGTGAAAGTGTTGCTCTGATTGGTTGATAAGTAAAATGTTGATTGGCCAGTAGCCGGGCAAGAAGTATAGGCAAGATAAGCAGACACGGAGAATTCTGGGAAGGAAAAACAGAACTGAGGAGGAGACTCCAATCCACTGTCCAGGGAACAGCATGTAATGGCACACAGGTAAAGCCACAGAACATATGGCAACATATAGATGAACAGAAATAGGTTGAATTTAAATGTAAGAGCTAGTCAGTAGTTAGCCTGAGCTAATGGCCAATCAATTTTAATTAATATTAAGCCTCTGTGTGTTCATTTGGGTCTGAGTGGCTACAGGAGCCAGGTGGGACCAGGAAAACTTCAGCCAGAACTAGGTCAATTAATGGGCTATTTCCCTGCGATGTATGTTGGGGCAGGACATAGAGCCATGCTACACCTGATGGCAAGAGCCATGCTGTGCACAGCAAGAGAGAAAAACTGGATCACATCATGGTGTCAGCTTGCTGCCAGCTGGTGGTGCTTCTTAGTGAGGCTGTGAAAGCTTTAGGAGGTGAGGCCTAGCTGGTGGAAGCAGGTGCTTAGGGGTGGGCCTTGGACGGATAAAAGCCCCTGATTCCTTCTTCACTTTCTGCTTTCTGATCTGCCAACATGTGAACAGACACAGCCACACGCTCCTGCTGCCATTGACTGAGATTTCTACCAAGCATTCCTCGCTACAGTGGGCTGAAATACCCTCCAACCTTGAGTCAAAGTAAGCCTTTCCTCTCAGTAGCTGCTTCTGGCAGATACTTTATCATAGTGATGCAAAAAATAACTAATATAGAAGTTGGTACCAGGAGTGGAGTTGATGCTGTTACCGTTACTAAATTTGATTGTGGTGTTCTTTATCCTTTAGAACTTATTTGCTGGAAGAACTTGGAACAATCTGAAGAATGTGAGCTAGAGAAGTCCTACGATGCTATACGTATGTAGTTTAATGAGCCAGTCTGATGAGCATTCAAAAGACCAGAATCCTGATAGAAATACAGACAGGGATGTTTCAGAGAGGGATGTGGACTCTACTTAGAACTGGATAAGAGGCCGTTTGAGTCACATTCCGTCAAAGAATTTACTCATAACTTATTTTCTTGTATTCTGAAAATCCAAAGAAGGCTGAATTTTAAATAATGGAATAATTAATTTGGTAGAATTTAAATTAAATTTTCAGAACAGCATAATATCAGGCTGTACCATGATTATTGATGTTTGCTTTTAGCCACATTTATAGTGAGAATTGGGAATAAAAAGTAAAGCAGAAAGATGTGACAATCTATGCAATTTGGCCAACAAAGGGGGGTATCAAAGTTGCAGACAAAACGGTTGTGGGTAAAATGGTTAGGGTTGTTAAAAGGATTAAAATGGTTTTTAAAGAAGCCATACACTTCGCCGTGTGGCAATAGGAAAGGTGCTTGAGAGTGAGACCTCACCCATCAAAGGCTCTAGGATACAAAAGTAGCCACCAACTCCACCCCCTCACCTGAGGCAGGTGGCCCCAGTGGCCCTGAAGGACCAGCTCAGCTACCACCCAGGCCCACAGCCTGGGCCTTGGGTTGGCCTACCCTAACATCTACCCCTTCTAGGACCTGCTGGAGCTCATGAAGGGATTGGTCCTGTGGAATAACACCAGCAGGATCTCCATGACTTGGGGTGGCTGTGGGATATCCCCGAGGAGTTCCGGTGAGGATCCAGCGATGATGGTGTACCAGAAACCAGAGGTCTTGAACCAGACCAGTGACTCACTGCAATGAACATTTGCTAGTAAAGTTGGTTGGAGAAAAGAGTATACTGTGTGACACACCACGGCTCCCAGTGCCACCAGGGGGAATGAAGAGCTCTTGGAGAGGCGGGAAAGGAGAAATGAAGAGGTGAGGTTTTGCTTGTTTGTTTTGCTCTTGCTTTTGTTTGCTTGTTTTGTTTTGATTTTTTAATTTTTCTTTTGGGGGCCACTGCAGGGGTGATAGGCAGATATGGAGGAGGGACCAGGAGGTCAGTGGAATTAGGGTGCATGGCATGAAATTCCCAAAGAATTCCCAATAAAGAAATTATGTTTGATTGTTTGTTTTTTTAAAAAAAAGTGGGAGTCAATTTGAAGTGCATTCCTTTAAAAAGAAAGAGCTGTAGACTACTTTCACAGTTCAGCCATACAGGGGCTCAGAGGCCAGTGCAGCCAGGGCCAAAGGGGCGTGGCTCCTTCCCAAGCCAGCAGGACGTGAGGTTGTCCACATGGTGTTCATCTGAAAGGTATACAGAATGTAAGGGTTATGGGCTCGTGGAGGCTTGCACCAAGATTTTAGGAGAAAGCCCGACAGTCCAAGCAATGAGTAATCCAGTCAGATTCCCTTAGAAGGCCTTTGACAGTGTGAGAAACTGTGAGGATTAATCCTGAGCTGCAAAGGAGAACCCAGAGTGTTGGAGAGACCAGGAATGCCTCAACCAAAGAAAGCCTTAGGCACCAAACAGAGCCAGCCCAAGAGAGAGGCCATATCTACTTCAGGTGGCAGTGCCACAGACAAGAGGGTACCCAAACCACCTAGAATTCTGGCGAGGCCACTGTGTGCTCCTCATCCTGGACATGGAGCCATAGGATTTAATGGTTGTACAACTAGGTTTTGGTCTTGCTTTGGTCCAGTCTTTCTTTTTACCGTCCTAATGCAAAGCATTTTGCACTATGAGATGGTAGTAAGCTCTTAGGGGCCATGAGAAGAATGCTACGGTTTGAATTTGAAACATGCCCCATAGACTCAGACTTGGAATGTTTGTTCCCTGGCTGGTGGTGATGTTTCAGGCTGTGGAGTCTTCAGGAGGTGATTCCTTGCTGGTGGAAGCTGATCACGAGGGGCAAGCCTTGGAAGGTTCCAGTCTGGCCCTGTGTTTCTCTCTGCTTCCTGGACTGCTGCTCCACAGGCTTTGTATACTGAGATGCTTTGGCAATGCCTTGACCATGGTGGGCTGAGATCCCTGACACCATAAGTCCAAACAAGTCTTTCCTCAGGGAAGCTGTTCCTGTCAATATTTTGACACAGAAGTGGAGAGGTGAGTCATATAGAAAATAACCTAACTGGGTGTGGTGGCACACACTTTTAATCCCAGCACTCAGGAGACAGAGGCAGGTGGATCTCTGTGGGTTTGAGATCAACCTACATAATGAATTCCAGGACAGCTAGAGATACAGAGAAAGAAGAGAGAGAGAGAGAGAGAGAGAGAGAGAGAGAGAGAGAGAGAGAGAGAGAGAGAGAGAGGAGGGGGACAGAGGGACGGAGGGATGGAGGGACGGAGGGAGGAAGGATGGAAGGAAGAGGAAGGAAAAAGGAAAAGAGCCCGCTGTTAAACTTCAAAAGAAATCCCATCTAGAAATCTGCCGTTCACGGGACCTCTTGCCCCACTTCACTCATCGCTGGGGACAAGTATGCAGATGAGGATTACAGCGGGCAGCAGGATATCTCCAAAGCTTTGCCAATGTAGCAATGTGGGTTCTGAGTCATCTCTACACGGAAAGCCCTAACCAGGGGTGATGAGTCTTCTGGTTCAGGAAAGAGTTCAGTTGTTCCCACTTCTTCTGGCCCCTTCACCCAAGGCCCAGACCTCCCCTTACTTCCAAGAGGCTGGCTTCAATCTGTGGCTCTTAGCACATCCTCAAAGCTAGCTGCACACCCTCTCTCTCCCTCTTCCTCTCCCTCTCCCTCCCTCCTCTCCCTCCCTCTGTCCCTCCCTCCCTCTGACCCTGACACCCTGCTTCCATTATGAGAAAACTTGTGCTAACCCTGGGCCACTGGTAGAATCTGGAATCATCTTCCATGTCAAGATCCCCAGGTTCACCCCATCTGTAAATCCCTTTCTCCGTGTGAGGAGATGCTTTGCAGTGCCCAGACATAGGTCACAGACATCTTTGGGACCTTATTCTACATCCTCCATTATTGAGCTTCACATTTGAGTCAAACCCTGAGAACTAGGCTCATGTGCTTACCGTCTCTGAGCCCCAGGATTGGAGAAACCCCATAACCAGAATCTTATTGCCACTCAGATGCAGCTGGACCCACACCTTCAACTTGCATTAACCACAAAGCAGGTGTTATTCCCAAGACTGCTGTCCTGGGCAAGGCTGAGTCTACCAGGGACACTTGGCACAATGAGTTAAAAAAAAAAACCAGAAGTCCAGGCAAATATTCACTAACGTTACACACTGTCTTTCCAACTTAGAGCCCTGCTCCAAGTGTCCCTGAGTCTACCCTAAACTGGCACATGGACTCTGCCTCTGCTTGGATTGATGACTTCTTTTATCCAAGATTGAGACACCAGTTGGGACAATTTTTTGCCAACTTGATACAAGCCATCTTCGAAGAGGGAACCTCAACTGAAAAGATACCTTCATCAGATCAGCTTTGCAGGCAAATCTGTGGAGGCATTTTCTTGATTAATAGTTGATGTGGGATAGTCAAACCCATGATGGGCAGTGCCACCTCTGGGAAGGTGGTCCTGGATGGTATATGCTAAGTAACTGAGCAAGCCAGTAAGCAGCACTCCTCCATGGCCTCTGCTTCAGCTCCTGCCTCCAGGTTCCTGCCTTGAGTTCCTGCCCTGACTTCCCTTCTTGATGGACTGTGACTAGGACATGTAAGCCAAATAAACGTTTTCCTCCCCAAATTACTTTTGGTCATGATGTTTTGTTACAGCAAGAGAAAGCCAATTAATACACCAGAGAAGGTCAGCATGGGCTTATTGTCACGGCATGAGCAGAGCGGAGATGGTGTAAGACCAAGATGTCAAGTGCAGATTCCCAGTTATCTTTTTTTTTATTTAGATTTTTTTTATGCCGAATGCTGTTTATTGAAGGAGGGAAGAGGTCTTAAATACAGACTTACAGCACAATGTGAGAACCCCGGAGGGCAGAAGTTCGCTACAGATGTTTTACAATCTTGCATCTAAGCTGTTAGCATCCATTATGCAGGAAACACAGACAAGGAACTTCCCTTAAGCATTCAGGAGGGTGGAACCTGGCAGGGAATTACCATAGGGAAGATATCAAGATCAAGGTCAGCAAGCAAGGCAACAGTTACCCAAAACAGGGCCCAGGACCCTACAGGTCCCCCTTTTTACTAAAAAATGAGCTTCTGACTTAGGTTGCGTGGGACATCAGCAGGTCACCTTACCCGTCATGGAAACACCTGCCCAGGCCACACAGGCGCTCTGTTTTAGGTTGGTGAGCACCCCCCAGGCATTACCCGTCTTTGAATACTCATTATCATACAGGCTCAATCGTGTGTGAGCTGCAGAGTTAACTGCTGCCAAAGATCTCAAAGTGGCACTGGGCTTGTAATCTGTGTTTTTGACACAGAAAAGACCAACAGAGGTCCTATCCCACCCATAGCCAGTAGGCTAAAGGCAACTGAGCCATTCCCTTCCTTAATGAGCCTTACTGCAAATTGGAATCCTTGTAAGATGTTATCCCAAAAGCATATGGAACTTGAGTTTATAAATTTATAATTTTCAAAGCCAATCGAAATGTATATAACTATTGAATTAAATTTATCATGCCCAATAGAATGAAAGATTAACTAACTGTGGTAGCTACTTTTGCTGCCAGGGTCTCCACTGTGCTAACTGTAGTAACCAATTATGAAATGGTAATCCCAGAAGCAGTAGCAGCGGTGGCCGCCTCTACTATAACAGCAACAACAGCAGCAGCAATGTCAAATTCTCTTCTGGAGCGTGTGGACATCCACTGGCATGGACATAACTCCAGGAACACGAACCGCCAAGGCCCATTTTTCTTGATCCCAGCACGACTTAGGCTGGCAGCTCTTCTGGAGAATCCAAAAGCATGGCTACAGTTCCTAGGCTTACATTAATGCTTGCCAAAGCTAGCCATATTGGGCTCTCAATTCCCATTGGCATCAAAAGGGGAGAGTTTTTCATTAAGGCCCATCCACATTCTATTCTTTCCCTTGTTTTGTATATTTTAAATTTTTTATCGGTAGATTCTGCTGGAGAATTCACTGCAGATAAGCACTGGAGGTCTCCTGTTGCAAATCACCCTCTGGAGTGATGGAAAGATCTTTCTACTAGCACTTGGAGGAGACCTGATCTGGTGTTGGTGTGGGCCCGGGGTTTTGTTTATGTCTTTCCTCAGGACAATGAGGTTCCTCTTTGGATTCCTGAGCGCTGTGTGCGCCCTGTGGCTGCTGCTTAAACCCAACATGACAGAGACCTATTGGGCCTTCATGAAAACCTCTCCCAGTTGTCTTTAAGGTTCTGGTGCATGAAGACTGCCATGCGCAGTCGCTATCCACAGGAAGGACTGCAGTCATCGCTCACCTCACCTCTGCTCACAGGGAGTACAGAGTTAGGGCAGAGGGGTGTGGCAACCCTGGCTTCCACACGGCACTCTGCAGACAAGCCTCCTGGACATGTGAACAGGTAGCTAATGGCATCAGAAGCATGTGACCAGACCCGGCATTAGCTGTCATCACTTCTGACATAGCCTCAGATCTATCCACTGCCACTACCTGGGCCCAAGCCAGCTTGCCATTTTGAGAGGCTCATGTAATAATCTGCAAATGGGCTTTGTGGCTCCATCTCGTCTTTCTGTTATGCCACCAAAAGGACTCCCCGAGAAGTGCCTGCGATGGAACTACCTGCCAGTGTCATTCCACAAATCCAACAGCCTCCCTACCTCCCATCCATAGACCCTCAAGCACACTTTAGCCTAGAGTCTGATGGGACACTTTGGGTCTGAGCACTGATCTTGGCAGATGTCCCAAGCCTCCTTTACCCTCTGTGGCCAAGCCTCCTGGAGCATCCCACTCCCATCATGTCACCAAGCCCCCACAACAATCCTGTACCTTCTGTCCTGCGCCACCCTTTCAGAGCCCTGAGCACCTGCCTAGATGTGGGCCCGGCACTGTCTTCTGGATACTCTTCAGAACTCTACCTCACCTGCAGCCAGGTCTGCACTGTGCAGAAATGCACCGTCCCCTCCTCCCATGCACTGGTCACTGAGCATATTACCCATGCATTGGATGCAGAAAAACTCCCTCCCCTGGGCCTGCTCCTGCAAGCTATAAGATACACCTGAACACCCACAGGCCAGAGGGAATGGCACAATGTCCTGGGTCCCCAAGCCTTGCCTGTTCCTAACTAGATACCCTGGCCAATCACTACAGAGAGTTCCATTCCTATAGGAAGCTGCCAGATGGCTGTGCTTGTTTGTTTATTTGAGCTGATGGCCCTGGTGCTTATTACAAGCCAAGCGGCCCTGGATCTGCCTGTCTGTGTCTCACGATAATCTTGGGACAGGGTGCTATTATCCCCGGGCAACCCCATCATCGCCGTGACATTAAACACTATCTGCACACAGAACCCCTGTCCCTCTCCCCCAGACTCACCCTTCTAGATTTACTAGCCGATTTCTATCCAGCCCTTTCTCTCACAACTGCCTGCTCCGTCTCCAGCTCTGCTCACTGGGCAGTGCCACGCTCCTCTGACCTGAACCTGGATTACCTTCAGACCAGCTCTGCTCACATATCCAGCCAGTCTCTTGGTCACAACACCCTCGCCTGTCTGTCTCATCTCTACTTGTGTGTCCATCCTCCATGCAGCTACTCTGACCCTGGTTCAAATCCATCACCCCCTCCACGGACAGCCTCATTGACTGCACTCAAAAAGTAGATCCAAATCCTCACCACGGTCTATGGAACCCAACATGACCAACATGACCAGGGGCAGGCACACCTGTCTTTACAAGTGTCCTGCCTCTGGATGGACACTTCACAGAGCATCCACATGGTTGGAGCCCCTCCCACATCTAGACTTAGAGGAAGCATCATCTACAGAGATGCAGGGTACCTTCCCTATCGTGCCCCTGCTTAGCCCTACTGAGTGTTCCTCTGGGGAGTAGGCACCACTGGGAGTTTGTCTCCCACAAGAAGTTTAAAAGCCCCCTGGAAGCCTGGATCCATGGAGCTCACTGCAGTGGCTAGTACCCCATAGGCACTTCATAGAGTTGAATGAAAAACATGAATCAGTTTCTGTTTATCAGGTGAAGGGAAGTGTATAAATAGACCATTATTTAAAGTCACACAGCAGGTGAGTGGTTGACTCAAGCCCAGCCTGAAGCAGGGCTACCTGCTGTGACTTGCCCATTAGAGACCACATGGTGTGACCTCCCCTCTCTCTGGTCCTGTGAAACCTTTGTCCTTAGGTAGCACATGATGGATCCAGAAGCCAAGATGTGACTATGGCTCTGATGTGGACAGAGGAAGAAAGAAAGCTGTGACAGGAGGCTTGCTAACCGGGAGGCATGCATGGGGAGGGGCTCAGCAGGCAGCCTGTGCAAAGGTGTAGGGCAGGAAGACCAGAGCCCGGGGGTGTGCATGCATGCCTCTGTGTTTATTCATGAGTATGTGCATATTGCCTGTATTGCATGTGTGTATGTGCATGTGTGTTCTTATGTATGTGTGTATATTTCTGTATACTTACTACATTTGTATATGTTTCTATATGTTTGTGTATATATGTGTATATATATGTATACATATTGCTATTGTGTGTGGGAAGTATTTATATGTGGTGCATATATGTGTGTCTATGTGTCTGTCTATGTATGTATGAGTATATGGCCGTATATCCAAAATTGCATGTATACACACACACACACACACACACACACACACACACACACACACACACAAAGGCATTAGTTGTGCATACATGTGTCTGATATATGCAGGAGTATATGTGAGTGTGTATGTGTCTGTGTATGTGTGTTATGTGTACATGAGTTGTGTAAAGTATGTATATGTTCTCAGGTATGTGTCTGTCTGTGTTCATATGCAGGAAGAATATGTGTGTGTTTCTGCATCCTGTGAAGGACAAGTGTGAAGTATAGTATTTTCAGCCTGCAGAAGCTTATACTTCTATGTGGCCTACATGTCCCCATGGAGCCTGCAGCCTACATGGCCCTCTGGAGACAGGCCCCCTCAGACTCTGAGATCCTTCACAGTCTTGTGTGAATGATCCTGCTGGAGTCTCAGGGAGTCTGGAAGTGGGAAAGCTTTCAAATGCCACAGAAAGGTCAGAGGTGGTGGCAGGAGACAGATCCCACAGACCCACAGATGGGTCCCCTCTCCTCCACCTCACAGGCCAGTCCTGTTAGGTCTGAGATGAAAATGACAATGGCTGCCTGTGAAGACCACGTCTGGGCCACAGAGGCCCAGTCACGGCCTCGTCATCTTCCTTCTCAAGTTCCTGAGATACTGAAGCCTTCAGGAGCAGGAGGCGGTTGGCTTCTCTGACAGGACTGATCCACAGGGTCCACAGGGATCAGTTCACACAGAAGGAGCACCACAGACCTCCTCATGATCGGGGGAGCCAGAGGGCAGAGGAGAGAGTACCTCAGGGAAGAGGGGGCACCCCAGCTGACATCAAGGTCTGAAAGGCATTTCAATTGGCACAGACTCTCCTGGGCTTCAGGTGCTCAGTGGACACAGGCATGCAGCAAAGCTTGTGCATACATGGGTGTGCGTGCACACATGTACACATACATGCACACATGTGCACCCACAGACTGGAACACACACATATACACCGGCACAC